GAAGAAGAGGGGGGGCTCCCCTGCTGCCAGTTGCGGCCGCACACCTGGGTGGTGCGGGCGCGCTTGCCAGGGCCCTTATCCCGTACCCTTTTTCCCTCGGCCGCGCCTCTCCTCTGATGCGACCGCGCCTTCCGGGGTTTCTTTTGGGACGATCTGACTAACTCTTCTTTTGTATCTTTCCTATATATAGTTTTTCCTTCTATTTTAGGAGGAAGAGAATTAGAATAGAATGAGAATCAATTTTAGATCCAAAATTAGAGAGAGAAACTCTAGATTTTTAGAGAGAGAATTTCATGGTGGATTGTTGATGATTAAAGATTTCTCCATTTCCTTTGATTTTTGATCAAGTTTGTAAGGATTCCTTTTCTTTAATGCAATCTTTAGTTTGATCTTTAGTTTGTTTTGAATTGTTTGTTGAATGTTCAAGTTTGATTGAAGTTTGATTGATTTGTGTTTAATTTTAGCTTGTTTGATTTGATCATGATGAATTTGTTGATTAGCCTTGTTTTGATCTTGATTTCAATGACTAGTGAGTAGATAGCTTGCTAGGGTAATGGTGAAGCATGTATAAGTAATGGAATAAAGCTAATTTGGGAAAATTGATGGAGTTGACTATGTGATTAAATTGATTGATGATCATGTGCATGTGTGTGATTAATTATTAAAGAGTAGCTAACTTTGATTGTTACACTAGATTGCATTATAAGTTTGCATTGATACGGACCATTGATTTGTGGCTTGCATTTAACGATTGAGGTGTCTTGTGATGTTTCCTAGCTAGAGTTTATCGTAGTTGACGCTAGTTAGACCTCTAGGAGAATAGCTTGATATGCTCTTTTGGTTGCATGATTGATTTTCCCTCACATAGCTTGACTTAGTCAATTTGACCTCCTAATTAGTTGAATCCGTTATGATTACATGTGGATCCTAGCCCTAGTGTTTATTACATTTGATTTCTTCTCATTTATTAGTCGTCTTTGTCCTAGCATAACATTCACACACAATCATTATATTTTGGAATAGCTTGACCATAGACAATAGATAATCGCCCACCATTCCTTTGGGTTCGACCCTCAACTTACCATTATACTTGTGTAGGGGTGTGTTGAGTGTTTACAAATTTTGTTTGGCCTCGGGTAGGGGTTAGTTTCAACGACCTAGTCTCAACCCTCGTCAGGCACCTAGTCTATTTATAATCACATTATAACTAGACTAGGGTTAGGAAGCCCAAAACCCTTCAATCCACTCCATGTGCCCGGGCATACTAGAGGATGAGGCCCATCATGGGCCTTGTCCTCTCGTGCCCGATCTAGACCCTTTGTGTGACTTTATAGGATCCGTTCAATTGGGATTTGGGCTATTTTTCTAGACCAAATTTCGTTGGTACCTCTAGCTATGATAAAACGACGACCCAAATGTCCGAACTTAATTATCTCCATAATTTGATCCATTGATATATCTAGTAATTGCACACGACGAAGACATAAATCCTTCATACACACCCTCCATTCAGGTACGTACAAAAAACCCCAAAACAAATGCTGATTTTTTTCTCATCTTGTTATGGAAGAAACGGGTGTTTCTATCTCCTTGGGATAGCCAATTTTAACGAGATAATTTTCCAAAATGGTTTTGCCCAAACAGGAGTTTTTCCCTTTGACGGATCATGCAGTTGAGATGGCTAACTAGAATAGGGTTAAAAGGTTGAGAGCGTAGGGAGCTCCTTAGGGTAGCTATCTTTTCAGCGTTGCGTAATATTTGTTATTATTGCTCCCATATCTTTTTCCTGCCCAAATTTGTAGTTGGTTTTTAATGCGGGCTAGTTTTTGTTGGATTCTATAGAATCTTGATCCATGGATTGAATGTGGCCAATTTTTTTTTACTAGATCATGGGAACCTTTGTCCCATATCTTTTCCCTGCCCAAATTCCTACCTAGATGTTTCCACGTACCTAAGGCACCATCAATAAGGGAAGTTTTTTCCCGAGTTTTTGAAGAGCCACGTAAGATTTAATTTTCTTAGCGCACCATGTAGGATTATAAATTTTTGTTGTAGCCAATTAAGTAAGCGATTATTAATTTTTTTTAATATTAAATAATTCAAATGCCACATAGGCAAAATTGGTGAATGAAATTTTTAAGGTTAAATAAATTAATTATTATATATTATCTTTTAATATAAGGAATTTTATCTAAATATATAACAAATTTCAACACATTAATACAAAAAAAAATTATTTTTAAAAAAATCAAACAAACAGTGCATCGCATGGGCTTCATCTAGTCCTATTTTTTTTAAACAACGTACATAATTTTTTTTTAAAACAACGTACATACTTTTTTTTATTTTTAAGAAATGTACATAAATTTTAATGTATTTAAGAAATAAAAAAGGTTTTTTTTTATTATCAAAACACTGTGTTTTGATGTATATATAGGGAAAACACTGTGTATAGGGCTGTTCATCGGTCCAAGACCGAAAATTAGAATTTTAAGAACTGAAGACCGGACCGATTAAGTTAGGACCAAATCCGGACCGGACTGAAAGAATCGGTCTAAAACCTAGACCGGACCGCTTTGGACCGATTTAAGAATTTTTTAAAAAAGAATACTAAATTTTTTATAAAGTTTAGGAAAACACAAAAAAAGTATTGGAAAAAACTATGTTGTAACGTCATTTTTACGTCTTTTTTTTGTATGTTTAGTGCGAAAAAGCTTATAAATTTAAAGTTTTCTAAGCTTATTAAGGATAATTTTAATCATTATTCAAGGTTTCACACATATTTTTAATAGTAAAAAAATCGGTCCGGTCCAAAACCCTTTTATAGGGTTTTGGACCGGACCGAAGAACGAAAAAATGAATTTCAAGACCCGAAGACCGGACTGATTAATTCGGTCCGGTCCGATCCGAGTTCGGTCCGGGGTGGTCCGGTCCATTTTTTCGGTCCGGACCGATTTATGAACACCCCTAACTATGTATAGTATATAGAGTTGAGTATTTAGTTTTCAAGACTCCACTTCAGATTTTGTTAAGACTTAGCTTCTTAAATGCATTAAAAAAACAAATTCTTGTCTTAATATCTGATAACTTGCTATTTTATGCGGTTTTAGGGCGTATTTGAACCTAGTTTACCTGAACAAATTTGTGTTTTGGTTCACTTTTACCCTATTATTATGCAATTTTTGTGTATCCTATGCTTCACGGGTTGTTAGTGTTTTTGTTGAGATTTTAGGTCCAAAGACGACCAAATGAAGCCCATGGTTACCAAACCGAGGTTAGAAGCAAGGAAATGATGGAAAGAATCCAAGTACAAGAGCATCGTAGAAGAAAACACGAAGAAAAGGGCCCAGAAGACCCTGCACGGCCGTGCAAGATGTTGCACGTCCGTGCAGGAGTGCAGACCTGAACCCATCTTTCTGCCAAGGCCTGCACGGACGTGCCAAATATTGCACGTCCGTGCAGATGATGCAGCACGGACGTGCTTCCGTGATTATGAGGCAGCACGGACGTGCCAAATATTGCACGTCCGTGCGGATGATGCAGCACGGACGTGCCAAAGGTGCACGCCCGTGCTGCAGCAGGTCGTCTTAAACTGAGTTTCTGCCTTGGTCTGCACGGACGTGCCAACTTCAGCACGTCCGTGCAGACCTACAGTTTACCCGTTTCTTGTTTTCTCCGTCCTCTTATTTTAGGGGGTAGTATAAATAGCCCCTTTGGACCATTTTAGAGGGGTTCCCAATTTTTTTCCAGATTTTCATACTCCTCTTAGTTTGAAACACAAAAATCCTCAAATTAGCATAGATTTTAGTTCTTGTTTTGAAGGTTTTCAATCCAATCATTGTAGAAGACAAGTTCCACCATTGTTAGTCAATTATTGAAGTTTCTAGTAATTTTTCTTACTCTTTCTTTCTCTCTTCTATCTTTAATTCTTGCTTTTTATTAATTGTTTGGTTGTTCTTTGCATGTTTAATTGTTAGATTCTACTTAATTCTTAGTTTTAATTTGTTCATGAATTCCTTGAAATCTTTAATTGCTTTAACTTCCATGGATTGTGAGTAGTCTAATTTCTAGGGTTTGGGTGAACCCTCAATGTAATCACCAACACTTGTTGCATGTACTAATTTGTTAATTGTGGGGTGTTGATTAGTTGAGTTTAAGAGGTTTCATTGTTAATTCTTGTAATTGGCCATTGCTTGAATTATTTATCTAGCTTCCTCAACGAAGGATCGAGAGATGAACTTGAGGAAGCTCCCTTATGCTTGATTGACTTGATTTGCCATGAGAATAGGAATTTCTAGTCAAGGGAATTTGCATGTTATCGTGAGGATGTTTTAACACTTGTTTCTTGCCCATAATCACGAGAGTAGGTTATGGTTTTGATGTCAAGTAATCCCTCTAGCTTGAGAGAGTAGTTGGGTGCATTTGATAACTTCCCCTAATTTATCCCCTAAATCACCATTTCTATGCATGCTACTTGTGGTCCGTGATGAAGTTGAGTGGTGTAACCCATGCCCTAGGCCTTCTTAATATTGTTAATCACCTCTTAGAATTAGTTGATTTGAATTAGAATAGTGTGACGTAATACCAACTTAAAACCCCCGACTTAATCTAGCTTGTTTAAACAATAACATTTGGTGGTTGATTCAACGCCTCTCATGGGTTCGACCCTTTCTTGCCCTTGCTACTAGTTTAGTAGGATCGAGTTAGGTCTTATTTCTTGATAGGTTGACGACGTCCTATCAATATCACAAAATAAAAAAATGATGATGTCTTTATTTTTTACGAAGAAAAAAAAAATAATGATGTCAGACGCAAAGTCTATTGAGTCTCCTCGTTGAAATTACTTAAAACCCCATGCTTCTTAATATTTGCGATTACTCGATTAGCTCTATAATTCTTCCCAGATAATACAGACATGCAGTATTACAGAAGGGGCAATCTCGTCAAGTCAAATAAAGAAACGTACAAGGAAAGGATAAGGGTTCTCATTCTTTTGTTCGTTCATGACTTCAAAACTTTATCCAGAATTTTAATTACACGCAGAAAACGTCAATCCTCCCCCCAAATAAACAAAGGGTAAAGTTGTCGGCAATCTATTGTGAAAGAGGAATTATTTCATCCATTGTTAAATATTTGAATTCGAGGAAATTGATGTTTGATGTAAATATTGTTTGGCCCTAATTTTATTAAATGGTTGCTTTTTGATTACTTGATTAAATTTGAAGAATTATTGTTGATGATGTGCGCAGATTATGGAGCGAAGTAGATTGTTAAGGATGTTGCTGTTATTATGTTTATTTGGTGTTTCTTTTGGCAGAGGTAATTTAGCTTTGGATTTTCACAGTTTAATTCACATTTTTGACTTCGTGTTTCTTGAATTTTATATTTGTTTGGAATTCAACTATTTGCTTTGTTATTAATTGTATGAAGTCTTGAATGTTTAACATAGTGGGACACTTGGTTTCCTTTTGTTCATAGTGCTCAACCTTGAACACGGTGATAAATTCTCTGTCTACAATCACACGCTTGCCAAAATTTTGGTGGAGTACAACGCGGCAGTAAGTACTCTACTACCTCCATTTTTATTAGATGCATCACTTATAAAATCAAAAAGTGGACTCATGTGATATGAGAGAGATAGAGTGAATTTATTAACCAAAATGGAAAATGATGCATCTAAATTGAACTTCTAAATATAGAAATAGAAATCTAATATATTAAAAGGCGTTACTAACTCTTTGCCACACATACCACCCCACGTCACCTACTCATCTCTCATTATTATGCCACATTATCACTACTCATTATTATGCCACGTCATCTAATATTGCTTCATATAAAAAGATGATGATAAGGGAATTCGAACACCCAACCTCTTATAAATAAGAAGGATGATTATTTAACCATCTAAGCTAATTATCATTTATGTTATGAACATAAAAATAAATGTATATAATTGATAATCATAAGGTCTAACTAAAATAAAAAAAAACTAAAATATCAAATACATATAATCACAAGGAATAATTAAAGTAGCAACCCAGTGCAACACCCGGGTTACACACTAGTTGATATATATTAAAAGAAATGGAGGAAGTATTTTATGACATACCTCACTTGTAATGATGAAAATTTAAATCTCTTTGCTATTTGTCTCTTGGCGCTGTTGAAAAAAATAGAATGGTAGTTGTTGATTAATAAGCTATTATGTCAATTAAAGAAACTAGTTTAAAGGGATCTAAGTAAGTATAGATTTTACCTGTGATTTCTGACACTGTTGCCATAGTTTAAATATCAGCCCGGGGTTTGAACTAGGCTGAGTGCATTTAAACTAGAAATGCAATATGTGGTATCTTTTCACTCCAACACTCCAGCATTAATAGATCAATAAATGAGGAAGTCTTAATGGCTAACAGCCTAACAATTAGACATTAAAATAAATATCTAACAACCTTTGATACTACTGAGAGTGTGAGAGTGTCTCTTATACTATTAAAAGCATATATAGTACTACTGATAATGTCTAGTAGTACTATTTTACCGCTCAGTATTACTATCAAATTTGCCATTATTTATAAAATTGCCACTGTTATACATTTGTCAATGTCTAACTGTTGATTAGGACTTCCTCATCAATGGATACTATTTTTGTTTCGTTATTGTAGATTGTTGTAGGTAATTTTTGGAGCAAGGCTTTCTTATATTTGCCCTTAGAAGCAGGTGCGCCAGTTGTATTTGGTTACGTTTGACTTTTGAGTGAAATATGGTTAATTTTTTCCCTTGGTAGAAATGGTATCAAGTTAAATTTATGGAGTATGTAAAATAGTTAGGAAGATGAGGTAAAGGTTGTCCAAAAGAGAAATAGATTTTTCAACCTCGTAACAGAAAAACATCCTGCAGTCTATCCAATATCTTTTGTTTTTAAGAACAGGTAAGTGGCAATATATGTACGGTTTTAGTAACAAGGTTGTGTTAATTTGTTGACTACTCTGACCTGATTAGCTTTCCTACGCTTTGGTTTTTATATATTTTATTCCAGATATATGTTCTGTAGCTTAGTTTTTTTTTTTTTTTTTTTTTTTTTTTCAGTGATAATGCTTTACTTGCAATATGTTTTTAGTAGTAGTGTTGATATTAATAAATTGGGTTTTGTGATGGAGTTGGCATTGAGCTGATTTCGTAATGCTGTTGAGGTAGCATTTTAAGGCTAATCTGTAGACTGATTCTAATTTTCTGTTGTTCACAGGTGTACGAGTCAGACTTGACTGAACTATTTACCTGGACTTGCTCAAGATGTAATGGAATGACAAAGGTTCTTGACTTACTATTATTAAATTTCTGTTTACATGTTTTATTTTGTCAGAATATCTCTAATGGGCATTAAGTTTAGGTATGTGATTTTCTTAATTAGAAATCGTTTCCTGTTAATAGGGATTTGAAATCATAGAGCTTATTGTTGATGTCCAGCATTGCTTGCAGGTGCGTAATCACATCTTTATCTATCCTATATGCTTCACAGAATTTTTATCAGTTCCTAACTTCTATCTTATATCATTATTCTGTCTATTGCAGGCATATGTTGGGGTTGCTAAGGATCTGAATGCTATTATTGTTGCATTTAGAGGAACCCAGGAACACAGGTTACATTTTTTTTTTCAGAACTTTTTGTTTTTGAAATTGATACTTTTAAGGTTGGTTATTAGTCTTATTACGTAGAAACTTATAATATCTAGCTAAATGGTTGGTTATAAGAAAGCTTTACATTTTTGCGATATTATAAGAAACTAACATATCTTAATACAAAATTCTCTTTTGAAAAATGTGTATAAGAATTCTGTCATATGCTTCCCACAGGTTCAGGCCAGGTCCCAGCCTTTGATTTTAGGTTTAGACAAACCTGAGATTGCCCAAGTTATGTGAACTTAGTATAGCTTGTTACCGTCTGTTAGACATTAAACAAGGTTTGTGACACGTTGATGGTGCATAACTAGGTTTGTTGGCTATTCCACAAGGTTACATTTTTATAGTGATCGTGGTGATTCGAAGGTCCAACATCATCCTGTTCTAAATTCCTTCTTTCTTTGATGAGGAACTCTGATTTTCAAAAATACCTGCTGTGTGGGCAGAGATATCTCTCTGATGTAGCTTTGAATCTTTGGTGTTAAAGGCTGTCCACAGTTTTGCTGATACCACATAATAACTTCCATCATGCTTTCCTTGTTCTGTCTGAATATCAAGACATTTAGATGCCCCAAAAAACTTGGGCAATATGAGTTTGCCTAACAACTAGCTACCTAATAGCTCTCTGTTGCAGTTTTTTGCTGTTATCACTCAGGTGAATATCATGAATGGATCTAGGTTACACCTAATAGAATCTTGATAAGCTGCATCTTTCTAACCTGTGATGAGGAGCAGGGGGTCTATATCATCCTAGCCTTTATGTGTTTGATTGTTCATATTTTTTATTTTTTGTTTTTGTTTCTGTTTATTTTTTATTTATTTATTTTTGGATTTAATTTAGTTTAGTTTTTTATTATCTTTTCTTTGTAAATTTTTTTCATGAGAGATTTTTATGCTTTTCGGATGATGATGGCATCCCACAAAGATTTAAGGTGTTTTTTTTTTCTGTCTGAAATAAGAAAGTATGGGAGGTTCCAATTGCATATTCTTGGGCTTTACCTGGAAATTTGTAGACCAATTGCAACAAAGGGAGATCAGAGTTGCTCTGTAGATGCGTAGGTGGTTTATAAACTTAGACATGCAACATCCTAACTTCGATATCATGAAGTATGCATAGAATGGAGACTTATTTATTTATTTTTTCTTTTGATACACATGTATTGATTGTATCTTGTCCAGTACCTAGGATTGAATTGCATGGCCACTTCAAAGCGGGGTATGAGACTTAGAATCTGTTAATTTACTTTCTTTGACACCCTTTCCCCAGTTAAAATAAAAGGTACTAGTCTTGTTAAGTTGTAACATATCAACTGGTCAAGTACTAGTCCTGATATACGTAATATATTTAAAGATTACCAATGCAATAGTATAATCTTTTAATAAAGATCAACTTTATCATGTCCTGGGATGGCAACTATATTAGCATATTCACTTAGGTTATGGCTCTGCTGAATACATCAATGGAATGTCTCCTTTTTGTGCCTTCACTGCCTAAACAGGTTCTCTGACACTCTTCTTGTGTGTCAAAAAGGTATGAGTTTATCATTAGTGTTAACTTGTCAGTCACGTCATGAAATCATGATTTACGAAATAGTGTTACAGACAAACCTACCAGTATTATCCTTGATCATATGTTTGTAGATCAATTTTGTTATTATACCTTTGGGTGACACCATAGTATTGAAATTTATAGAGTATGACATATCAAAGATAGCTTCAATTTCTTACAAGTCCCTATTAAATGTCACTAGGACTAGAAAGTTTGATGTCATCAGTGATTCAGTGGTGGTGCTGAGCTTTTGTACCCATGGTTCGAAAACTCGGCCGTACCGTCGCGAATCGGCCAAGATGTAACGGAATTTCAACTCTCCGTTCCGATATTTACCGAGACAGCGCGCTGTTTTTTAAAACTCTGCGATATCGGCCGATACGACCGTTTTGATACAAATCGAGGGCGCATCACACGTTACTGGCAGAAAATTGATGAAAAAAATCCAAATTTTAAGCTTTTTGAGAATTTTCACCACATTTTCGATGGGGTTTATGATTTCTCCATGAAAGCCGATCACTTTCTTGGCAAGTTACTGTTTGAATAAAAGATATTTCTTTTAAAATATTTTAAATGGGTCTGTCTTATGACAGCTGGAAGTTACTAATGCAACATTACTTTTCCTTTGAAACTTTAACCTTCTCCAGCTGACCCCACCACCTTTTCTATTCCCTTCTTCTTTTATTTTTTCCCACGTGACTACACCACCCCTTACTTTCACTTTTTCAATTATTTTAAATTATTTTTTATCCCTGCTTTTTTATTAAGGAGTATTTTATTTTTTATTTTTTCTGAAGCATTTCAATTACTATTTTCATAGTGCAGTACAAACTACAAACTTACAAAGACGCTTCGGATTACTCGCAACAGTTTCTAAAACAGCCGCTTCACATTACTCGCAACAACTTATTTTCTTTCCTTTTTTAGTAAGATTTTTTGTACTACCTCCGTTACATATTATTTGCAACGATTAGACATTTTTCCTCTCTACTTTATGTCAAATCGTTGCAAATAACAGGTAACGGAGGTAGTATAATTTTACAAAATTACCCTTACTTTTGTTTTAAACACCCTAATTAAAAAAACTAATTTTATCTTATTAACTTAAAATCTAACTTTAATTAACTTAACTATTTCCACTAAAATCAATCCTTTTCCATCTAAATTCTTCTATCATCCCAATTCCCAGCCACTTTCTTCCTTCAACCACCTTCATCATCCTTCATCTTCTTCCTCATCCCCATTATTTTTCACTCTCTTCCTTCATCTTCTTCCTCATTCCCATTATTTTTCTCTCTCCTCCTCCAACTCAATTTTCAAGGTTTTTCCACAGGGTTTCGTGGGTTCGTTGGGTTAGTGCGTGGGTGCGATGGCTTGGTGGTTTCGCGAGATCGGTGGTTTCGTTGGCTGCTTGTGGTGGTCGTGAGTGGTTTCAATGGGTTGGTGGGTTCAAGGGTTCGTGGTTTTGTGGGTTCAAGGGTTCGTGGTTTTGTGGGTTGGTGGTGGTCGTGAGTGGTTTCTCCGGGTTGGTGTTGGTGGTGGTGGGTTCAAGGGTTTTTGTGGTTTGTGGGTTTTAATTTCCAGATTTGTGGGTTTTCGTGGGATTGGTGGTGATGTTGGTGGTCGTGGTTTTCGTGGGTTGGTGGTGGTGGTCGTGGTCGTGGTTGTGGTTTTCGTGGGTTCGCTGGGTTGGTGGTGGTGGTGTTAGTGGTTTCGGTGGTGGTGGCTGGTGTTAGTGGGTTGGTGGTGGTGGTGTTAGTGGTGTCGGTGGTGGTGGTGGTCGTGAGTGGTTTCTGTGCTGTTGGTGACTTGGTGGTGGTGGGGGGGGGTGGTGGCAGTGCTGGTGGCGGGTGGTGGCAGCATTGTTGGTGGTGGTGGGTTAATTATTTTAATTATTGTTAAATTTGTTTTTACTTCTTTTTTTGGGGTTGGATTTGTTAAGTAAATGCCCTTATTTTTCAATAACTACACTTAAGATCTTTTGCCTCGGCCTCCGCAAAGTTGTCCTTTGTTGCGAGTAACCCAAAGCGGAGGTAGTAAGATTTTTATAAATTATGAGAAAAATTTTTAGATATTAAAATTAAAATTCTTGCCGTGTCAACCGAGACGCGTCCGCGATCAACGCATCAATTCCGTTACCGAATTACCGTTACCGTTTCCGCGATCGCGACCAAAACCGCATTTTCGAACCATGTTTGTACCATTGAGATAGAACTTTTTGTAGTTGGAACACTTGGAACTGCCAACTTGTGAAATTTATGCTTTTGGCTTTTGTCAACGCTCCTCAATGCCATTCCACTTTTACAAATAATCCAAATAGCCTTTCTCTGTCTGGCCATTGAATAAAAACTGATGCATTCAGTGCCTGATTGGTTTGACCTGTTCCTGATAAACGTGACAAATGTTTCATTTGCTGCTGATTTATTAGTTTCTTGTATAGTTCAAATTTTAGTTGATTTGCAACATGGTTAATTTGTAATGCAGGTCTGCAAAACATTACATACCAGTTACTTAGACTGATTGGGAGCACACTTCATTACATATGATAATAATGTAAAATTTTAATCTGCCTGATATCAATGCTGCTCTCATAGTCTCACTTCAGATTCAGAAGATCCGAGTCTATTGTTTTGATGATTTTCTGATTTTCTTTGATCTTTAGGCAGCCTTTTGTCCTTTGTTTGACAAATTTCATGCTGTCATGAGAGCTTATTTTCCTCTGTTTCAGGCTTCTGAAACAGGTGAAACCACTTACATTATTTGTGATGGATAATAAACTATCAAAATCACATTAAGCACCTGTAAAGGACTAACTTAGTATTTTCTGATTTAAGGACTAATTAAGATATAAAAGCTTGATAATTTAGATTAATAATGGCAGAATTTGGATACAAAAAGATAGATTAATAGCTCAAGGCTATCACTCTCTTGATAACTTTAGGTTATCAGTTATCACTCTCCTAGTACCTTGAGGTTACTACTCAACATTTTTCCTCACAATTCACATAAAGCCTAATGCATATACTATCTCCTATTTATGCTAAGGAGTAAGGACTACTAACCTAAAACCATCTAAACTTCCCAAATTGCCCTTCCTAAGGTTAATCTATTACAGCACCTGATCTGCTACATTTTTCTGCTCCTTCAATGCCTCCCACTTACAGATTGTTTTGGGTGCCTTATCACGGTTGTATTATGTCTGATTGTCTAGTATTGTTTGCTTTCACATGCTACTTGCTTGACATTTAACCTATTCTACAGCATCCAGAATTGGGTTGAAGATCTGTATTGGAAACAACTTGATTTAAATTATCCTGACAAGCCCGATGCAATGGTAGGTGTCCTATCACTGTTCTGTTCAGTGGTCAGACTGGTCACTATCATAAAGCTTTTTGCTGGCCATATGACCTCCAGGTCAGCGTGGGACGATGAAAGACATCACAGCTCTCCTTTCTGATTAAATCTTGCAGGTTCACCATGGATTCTATAATGCCTATCATAACACCACACTTCGCCCTGGAGTTGTTGATGCTGTTAAACGAACGACACAAATGTTTGGAGAAATGGACCTTATTGTAATAGGGCATTCAATGGGTGGGGCTATGGCTGCCATTTGTGCACTTGACCTCACGGTAATCATTGTTAGATACTTAATTTTTTATTTTATTTTATCTTTAAGTTTATTTTCTGCTGTTGCAGGGGTAATAGCTTTAGTTATGTGGGTGTAATATGTTGTTTGCTTGATAAGGGATCCTAAGATCCATATACTATGGTAATCTGTAGTTCAGTGTCTTTTTGGCCATGTGATCTTGGAAAAGTCTATTTGTAGCTACGAATACTTTCTCTTTCCCTTGCTAGTTTTCACAATAGTGTTTTACACGAACTTAAGGCTACAAGAAATGAGGGTAAGGCATGTGAGATTTTTGTACTACCTTCGTTTCTTATTATTTGCAACAAAGGAGTATTATTTGTGATGTAGTATATCTAAAATGGATCAGTGGAGCACTTGGCTTTCTTGGGAGAGAGACGATAAATATCCTTCCTCCTGTGAAAGGGTTTGCTCTATGATGAAGAGCTTTATGCACACGAGGGCATTTTTCTAAATGAAATAGGTGTTTATTAACCCTTGAAGGAAATGTAAAAATCTATATGGGAGCATTAAGGAAGTGTGGGAAATATAATGGATGGGGGAATTAATTTATTACTCTCAGGTCTATAATCAGGTGTGAGCAGACAGCGCTGCGAAAGTTATTCAACGTTTCTCATTTCTCAATTTATTTAGAAAATTTTTGAAAAAAAACCACCTTATAGAAGTGGATTTATGTCGGAAACCACCATGACCTCTTCCTCTGTTTTTGTTTCTGTGATCTGTGGAGAAATTTTGTTCTGAGTCAAACATGGGTGCAAGACTGAGTTTTGAATGAGTTGCTTGGTTCCTTTGGGGGGAAGAGAATATGAAAGAGAGGGTGGGGGGGGGGACAGTGAAAAGGGATGCATATACAATATAATTTATGGTTTAATGGGAGAGAAGGAGTGTTAGAGGAGTGTATGTCAGATAAGAGAAGAGTAGCAATGGAAAGGAATGGAGGAAATTAAGATAAGGAGAAGAGCAGAGAGTCTCATAGGATGAGCAAGAAACATGCGAGCAAGAATGTTTTTGAACAAGTTCTTACCATGGAAGAATGAAGATGAGCAGAGGAGCTGATGAGTAAATGTCAGATATGTTACATTGGAGAACTTAATGATGAGGAGAAGAATAGTGGTAGTGCAGAGAGAATGGAAAATGAAGGGGGAATAGAGGATAAAAAAAAGGGAGGAAAGTGGGTCACGTGCATCCCAGGTGGGTGGTCAAAATCGGAAAGTGGAGTCCAATGTCAAATCCAGCGTATTGTTTATTTGACAAAAAGAATTCACAAATAGGTTTTTTCCAATATTTATTTATATAAGGAAATTTATGACAAAAACCCACTTTTAAAATGTGGTTCCTCACAAATTTGCCTTTTACTTACTGCTGAATTTTCTTCTTCTGAGATATTCTAATCCAGTTTTTCAACATTGTTATCTTTGTAAATTCCTGCACTATATTTTTTATATAATATTTTGCCTTTTATTGTATTATGGACTAATCATGGATTTTTGGGACTTAAGGCTTTGTTGTTGTGTTTATCATGAGAGCTTATTCGAACTGTCATACCCATGTATCCAGTTATGTTATCTTCCTTTAAGTTTACATGTGCTCCCTCCATCCCATAATATAGTGCCTATATTCCTTTTTGGGTATCCCAAAATGTTGTGTTTGTTTCCAATATTTTTCAAAAAATTTTACATACTTATAACCTTCTTCATTTTTTTAACCTCTCTCATATGAAATCCCTGACATATCCCCAATTTTTCTTATCATTAAAACTCATTAGCTTCTTTTTTTTTAAAAAAAATATCTTTCTCATATAAAATGACCTATATTTCAAGCTTCATTAATGGTCGTTATTTACTTTATACCTTTCCAATAAATATTGCCCCTATATTTGAGAATGAGAAATGGACACTATATTATGGGAACTATTTTGGTTGTGTGTGGACACAAGGTGAAACTTTCTCCATATGGCATAGTAAAGCATTTTGCTGACTTGGTTTTGTGTTTCTAGCTGTATTTTAGTTTGCTATCAGGCTTTTTGCTTTTGGCGTTGTCCCCTATCTCCCATTTTTACTTTGTTTTGCTGTACTTTGTGTCTCATGATATATTGACAAATCATGTATATTCAGGTACATCACGGAATAAAAAATGTTCATGTCACAACCTTTGGGCAACCACGGATTGGAAATGCAGCTTTTGCTTCTTACTACAGCCAATTTGTCCCAAACACAATCCGTGTCACTCATGAGCATGATATGGTGCCTCATTTGCCGCCTTATTATCCTTATTTCCGTCAGAAGTCATATCATCATTTTCCTAGAGAGGTATGTTGTAATTTTTTTTCTTGATGTTCTCCTGGTGCAGGCATGTATGATCTGTGCTCAACCCCTTCCATGATTCATTTACTTTGGACATTTTGCATTGGTATCTGATGGAAGTAACATTGTTTTGATATCGCAGTGATTTACTAATTTCTTTGGAATGAATTTATTTTTACCTGTAGTGCAACATATTCTTTGAGATCAATGATGACATTATAGTTACTGCACATTTATTGCACTTGGAAATTCTTAGAGATCTGTAATGAAGGTGTTCACTAATCTTACCCTGTATACCTCATTAGGCTTTGCTTAATTGAATGATCCCATCTGTTCAACACTCAACCTGTAGCAGGGTTATAACTATAATTGAGTGTTCCTGACATTCTTGTTGTCAGGGGGTTGTTGGATTGCTATATATCTCCACTGTCTTTGAACTAGTAGGTTATTAAGCTAGCTTTGGTGCAAAGCTTCATTTAGTACCTTTTCATTGGAGAATTCTTGGAGTTCTGAGTCATTTCTGTTGTCAGCCACCTTAAGGCTCTAAGTAGATGCAACTTTGTGATGGATCCAAGTAAACCATTATTGGTTTATTCGAGGCGGGAGAAAAGGCGGCAGCAGCAACCATAGGGAAGAAGCATTTCTTCACACCAGGACAAATGCAACTAAGAAGAATGAAGGAAAGAAGGGCAATCAACTTTAGTAATGCTTAGTATGGTTTTGCTTAATTAGTAAAGTTTCACATGTATTCTCCCTAAGGTCAATCTGACCACTAGTATAAGAATTGTAGGAAGAACTCAGAGGAGATTACCCAGAAATTTGTAAGGCAAACACGAGAGTTACAACCTCAAGTTGCTTGGAGACTTGTAGCCTCAAGCTACTACACTATCACTTGTAATCCTTGATTAGTTATATGAAAAATCTGCCCTTCTTCTATTAAATTGCGTAAATTCAGCATAATCAATTCTAGTCCTTTACAAACTTGCTCTCGACTCCGTGGGTTAACTATGGTTATCTTCAATGTTGCTGACTATTGGTTTATCAAAAGCATGAACAAAACCTCTAGCCGTGAAATAATGTCTTTATTGTTTCTCTTGCTCTTTTCTTGTCAATTGCAAAATTAATTATTTTCTCAAATTTCAGGTATGGCTGTATAATATTGGATTTGGAAGTTTAGTCTACACTGTTGAGAAGATTTGTGATCTTTCTGGTGAAGATCCATCTTGTAGCAGGTAAGTAGCGTAACATTGTAGGTGTATTTTGATTATTGCTTGGAAACTTTGTTGAATGAACGAATTCCCTAGGAAGATTTCTGTATATGTTTTGAACATATGTAGTTTTAGATATATCCACTGTAGAGAAAATTAGTCAGTATCCAGATGGTTGAGCTGAAAGAGAGTAGTTTCACATATCATAACTGTGAGTTGGTACTCTTTTTCAACAGGAACTTCCTTAATTATTCCACTTATCAATCCTATTTAGAGTAGGATTCAAGCTTATTCATCAATCATCACTCAATTAAGAGAATATAAGACAAAAGACAGCTTTGATAGCATTTCAAAGCACCCAACGTGTTCCTATTCTACTAATTGATTAAAGACAAAAAGTGCTTTGTAGAAATGGAAAAAATATTCCTGTCTAGAGTTTTGGACTTGATTACTTTTCTTTCAATGATAGTTAAACTCAAAGCTAATCTAAGGATCATTCTGGAAGCAAGCAAATAATGTACACTTTATAGCTTTTTCCTTGATTTAGTAACTATTTTGTTCTCAGCTAATGTGGTAAAGGGTTGTTTTCTCTTGAAAGTTTTGGTACTAATAAGCTAGAATTAGTTAAGCAAGTATTTAATTCACACCAGAATCTAAGCTACTAGATGACAGATCCCTTGGTTGAATAACATTCCCTCTGTCACAAATTATCTTCAAATTATCTTCCTAGTCGGTCATATTAAGGAATTTTGTAGGGTGGGGTGAAAATATAAGAGAAAGAGAGTTGGTCAAAGTTTCCACAACACATAATTTAAGTGGGAAAATTTTCCTTTTAAGTAGCTTGAAGATTTTTTATGGACATCCTAAAAAGTAATACAAAAAGATTATTCGTGGGGAACAAATGGACCATTATTATAGGTTTAAAGTTGTTTTATTTATTTATTTATTTTTCACTGATTGATCCATTGAAGCAAGTTCCTGAAGCACATATGTGAAAATTTATGATCATATTTACATACTAATAGCTGCCACTTAATAGTTTGCTATTCTAGGAGAAATAAATGTAGTTGATTCAGGTCGCAACTTGCATGCATGGCTATCTCATTGTTTAGGTCCAATTTAGCTTAATTGGGCCAGTCCATAAATGATCTAATTAAAGTCCAAGGTCAAAGGTTCAACTCTCCAATCCATGCAAAGTGAGGCCAAGGGCCCAGTCAACGTGGCAAGCCCACTTGGCTTCAAGCCCACTTCTCCTTATTGTGCTAAGGTATTAAAGCCTTCATTTCCCTTACATTGCATTCATTCACAAATAGCCTCAAGCAACTGTGAGGAGAATCGGGCAAGAGGGGGGGAGGCCCCAATCCTTTGGAGGATAAATGGGAAGAGGACACATGGAGAACTGAACGGGAAAGGAGAAAAAACCTGCATTTCTTCAAGGAGTCCGACACCCAAATCTTCCAAAGTAACAAAAGCAACAGTCTGACTCTCGGCTAGAAACTGCTCGCCAAAGCGTCTATGACCGCCTTGGCGTAAGGGAGCCGAGTGTGCACAGCCGCCTCTCTTTTCCTACCAAGCTGAGGCTCATCCTGAATCTTCCCGGCCCAGGGACGAAAACCACTTCTACCTCTCTGAGAGGCAGAGCGCGGTCCTTTCGGCCAAGAATAAAGGAAAGGCAGTAATGCTTCCCACTCGTTCTCCATTCGAGCGATGGATACCGGAAGAGCATGTGCCGACGGATAAAATTCCGTCACACATCACTTACCACTTTGCCTCTTTCGAGGGGCACATGCTTCTGATACTTTCCTACTCTCAAGAGGGTCGCGCAAGCATGGTTCTCCAAGGGAGTCGAGGAAAGTTCGATAACGGGGTGGGACGATTTGTCCACTAAGTTTAAAAGCAAGTTTTCTACGGAAAATCGCCTAGAGAAGAAAACTGCAGAGCTCATGGGCCTACAGCAAGGGGAGCCCGAAAGTCTCCGAGACTACGTGACTCGTTTCAGCAATGAGTCATCAGGCGTAACAAGCCTTGACCAGGGCCGTTTTTGCTTTACAGCATGCCTTTCGAACTGGACCGTTCCTTGACTTCATGGTCATGCATACCCCGCAGTGGAGGAACATGGTTCGAAAATGTGGTTTCGGTCTTGATCGCGGAAACGGTCGCGGTATTTCGGTAACGGAACTGATGCATTGATCGCAGATTGTATCGCGGTTGTCACGCAGGAATTTTATATTTTAGTTTTATGTGTTTCATAATGATTTTTCTCATATTTTTTAAAAATTTTATATGCTTAATTTCTTATTTCTCCATAGTTTTATTACTATGGAGTACTTTTTTTTTTGTTTTTTGTTTTTGAGGGGTTACTATGGAGTACTTTCAGTAACTACACTAAATTAATACGAGTAATGTAACTCTTTTAAATTAATTTAAAGATTAAATTCCTATTCTATATTTCTATGTGCTAGAAATTAAAAGTGGGAAGGGTTACGTGGGAAAAAAATTAAAAAAGGGAAAAGTGTGCTCTTCAGGTTTACCTTCTATAGAAAAACAAAAGATAAGACCCTTCTAACTGTCACACACTCTGACACATTATTTTATAAAAACAAAAAGAAAAAGACTTTCACTTTTGAACTGAAAAGGGTCGACTTTAATGCAGTAGTCGATAGCCCTCGCCGGAAAAGAGATAAGGGCTTAATTTTGAAAGTGTGTTGTTCAGATCTTGGTTAAAATTGTTCAAACCAGCCGATGCAGTCGAAATTTTGTTCAAAACAGCCGATGCGGCGGATATTGCGGGTTGTCAAAAAAAGCGTGCGTACTGGCAAATCTTGGTTCGGTAATCTTCAAATCCGCTACAAAACGGCGATACGTGATGTTTCGGACGCATTTTCAAACCATGTAGAGGAAGCTCTGAACGCTTCGGATAAGTTCATCTAAGCCGAAGAGTGGAATTAAACAAAAACCCATCCTCAAACTGGGGTGGGAAACAAAAACAACAATCCTCGTCTGAAGACCAAGGCTAAAAGGCGAAAGGAAAGGCTAAAGCCTCGGAACAAACTTCGGCCAACGAGCCGAAGGACAAATCTGCACCTCACTTGGGCACATACGAGTCCTACACGTCGCTCGCCCTCCCCCGCGCCCAAATCTACAGCGTGACCAAGGACGAGCACAAATACAAAAAACCGAGACCACTTCCTCAGTGGTATCAACAGTAAAATAAAGATTGGTGGTGTGAATTCAATGAGTCTCCTGGACACAACACTGATTCAGCTGAAGGACCAGATTGAAGACATGGTCCAAAGGGGATACTTGAAAAAATACCTCGCAGATCATCGCGAGGAGAAAAAAGATGAAAATGCCGAGAAAGACTCTCGGCAACAAATTGACTTTCCTTGGAAGAACAAGTAGATAGAGGAAAAATTTCCTCCAATCATGGCAATTTCCGGAGGAACATGTTCTCGGAGGGAACGAAAACGTCACCTTAGGGCGCTAATGCTGACATCTAGCCTCCCGAGTCGCTAGTGCCGAACATGACTTTCACAACCGCCGATTGCCGGGGGGTGACGTTCCCTCATGAGGATCCATTGGTGATCATCACCACGGTGGCCAACCCCAGGCGGACGCTCGTCGACGGTGGTAGCGGAGCAAACATTTTGTTCCGAAAGGCCTACAATCAAATTAAGCCGAAGACCAAGCACTTAATGACAGTACCCTCCTCGGTATTTGGATTCAACGACTTCTTCCTGTCACCATCGGCCGCGACGGAGCAACCAGGAATGTCATGGCCGAATTCTTGGTCATCGATGCTCCTTCAGTGTACAACGTGATCATGAGGAGACCTTTGATTCACGAGATTCAAGGGGTAGTCTCCACGTATCATCAAATAATGATTTATGTTTCAGACGCCGACTACCCTGAAAGAATCGAGGGCAGCCAAAAGGAAGCCCGAAGGTGCAATCACCTCAAGCCATCCACTAGTCGTTCGGAAGACGACGACGATGAGGATGAGGAGGAAAGAGAAAAAGAAAGAGAGCCTAACGCGAAGAAGCCGAAAGGCCTAAATGCTTCAGAAGGTGCTCTGGCGCCAAAGAAAGAGAAGGCTGGACCTTCATCTAGGCTGAATGACTCAGAGGATTAGCTGAAGAAAAAGTCTGGGAAGCAGCTGATATCGGCAACAGGCAGATTGTGAAGAGTCCGGCCCAAAGCAATGAATCTTGACCATCAGACTGAAACAGTTGAGTTGACCGAAGGAGACTTTGAAAAATGCGTCACAATCGGACATGATCTTGATCCGAACGTCCGTGTGGAGCTTATCCAACTCCTTCGGGGTAATAGGGATGTGTTCGCTTTCTTAACATGCCCAGGATTGATCCGAACCTTATCTCCCATAAGCTTAACGTCGACCCAACGTGTCGGCCAATTAAGCAAAAGAAGCGAAATTACTCCGCAAGCAAGAACTGAGGCATCGCAGCCGAAGTCTAAAAGTTGCTGGATGCAGGCTTCATCGAACCATGTTAGTATCCAGAATGGCTGGCTAATGTGGGGATGGTTCAAAAGGCAAATGACATCTGGAGAATGTGCGTTGACTTCGCGGACCTAAATAGGGCTTGTCCGAAGGACTTTTACCCCTTGCCAAGGATCGACAAAGTGGGCATGCTCTGCTTAGTTTCATGGACGCATTCTCGGGGTATCATGAGATCTTCATGCATCCCGACAACCGAGCAAAGACGACCTTCGTCACGAACGCCAGGGTGTACAATTACAAAATGATGTCCTTCAGATTGGAAAATGCGGGGGCAACATATCAAAGGCTCGTAGATCAAGTTTTCGCCGATCAAAAATGCCAAAACATGGAAGTCTATGTTGCTATCGTCAAAAGCAAAGAGGATAAAGACCATATTGTGGACCTGGCCAAAACCTTCGCCACCTTGAGAAAGCACCAAAGTGTGTCTTCGGCGTGAAGAAGGTGCAAGCAGCGCTCGATCTTCCCGAGCCGAAAACAAAGAGGGACATTTAGCGGCTCACCGGAA